TCAGACGGGCAGTTCTAAAGAAGGCATTTAATGTAGTGGTATGTTTGTGTTGTAGCATCTACATCCAGCAGAACTCAGTGATCTGAACTATTACAGGTCAACACAAGGGTAGTCTAATTCACTTAAATAATAGTCTGTTTTGTTTTGGTTAAGGGCTGTTCATGAGTGGTGTGCAGGATTTATCAGTATACAGTGGAAATTTGATGTCACAGTCATTGCTGAATTTACTAAAATAGCCAAGGTAACATAGTAGTGGCTGGAAACTAGTTTTCTCTCTATGCCAGCATCTGCACAGCCTGGGGGTCATAAACCATAGTGTGGCTTGAGTCCCCCAAAACAGAACACTAGGCCAAAGAATTTATAAACCCAAGCACAAAAAACAAATAAAAGAAATAGAAACATGAAAAAATAAGGCAACAAAATGCCTCCAAAGCTCCCCAACTCCTCCCAAACTAGTTTGGAGGGCCCTTGGAGGAGGAAATCATACACCACACAACAGAGATGTCTGAAAATGTGCACACAGAGGTAAAACAGTTCAACAAGGCAATTGGCAAATTTAAAGAAGGTATAACTAATCAGATAATGATCTTAAAGAAACAAATGATAAGCAAGTCCAGAGAAGACACAAATAAATAGCTTTTAGAACTGAAAGAAAGAATAGGAATCCATAGAAAATCAAACAGAAATCCAGGAGATCAAAAACAAGATTGAAAATATGTGCAGAGAAGAAGCAACCAATGTGAACAGTGTCAGACCTAGAGGACAGGGAGGAGGTCAATGATCGCTTAATGAGAGATACCTTAGAAACTATGAAGGTACATGAAAAATGGATCTGACAGCTCCTAGATACCTCACAGAGTACTAATATAAGAGTAACTGGAATTAGTGGAAAATGAGAAGACAGCACAAAAGGCATAAAAGACCTGTTTATGCAAGTAATAGCAGAAATCATACAGATAGGTGAAACATATAGAACCCTGAATAGGCATGATCAGAAAAGACTACTCCATGCCACGTAGTTTAAAAAACCAGAAGTACAACACAAGAACAAAATCTTAAAGGCTACTAGTGAAAAGCAATGAATCACCTCTATGGGAAAAGCCATCCAAATTATAATGGTTTTCTCAACACAAACCTTAAAGGTAAGGAGAACATGGAATGAAGTGTTTCAAGCTCTTAAAACCCTGGAAAATTATCTCTCAAAATTGATGAAAAAGGTACTTCCATAATAAATAAAACCTAAAGAAATTTATGACCACCAAACCAATATTTCAAAAAACTTTCAAGGATATCTTAGGAGACAATGAAGCTAAAAATGTCAAAGATCCAATAGAACAAATACATCAGGTAGGGTAACAAGTAGGAGAAAAAGAAAGCAAGAGAACAACAGGAAATTAATACAATGAGAGAAACAGTACCTATCAGTCATAATTGTAACATAAATGGACTCACCAATAAAAAGGCACGGATTAGTCAAATGGATCAAGAAACCAAATCCATCAGTATGCTGTATACAAGAAACACATAGCTGGGCATGGTGGTGCATGCCTGTAATCCCAGACTGAGACAAGAGGATGACTGAGAGTTCGAGGCCAGCCTGGGCTACATAAGCAAGTTCAAGACCAGTCAGTAATACATAGTGAGACACTGTCTCAAAAAAAAAAAAAAAAAAAAAAAGAAAGAAAGAAAGAAAGAAGGCATTTACACAAAAAGAAATTCATAGATTAAAAATCAAAGGATGAAAAACAATATTCCATGCAACAGGAACCAAAAACAAGCAGGAAGGGCTATCCTATTTTCAAGACCAAGCTGGTCAAAGGAGGCACAAAAAAAAGAAGAGAAAAGAAAAAGACACATTAGTTTATGGATCTATTCAATAGGAAGAGATAACAATTATAAACATACCAAACCACAGCGACTCAACTTTATGAAACAAACTCTAATGAAAATAAAAAGGTTAGATACATATCAATACAATTATACTAGGGGATCTTAATACCCCATTATCACAAATAGATCAACTAAAAAAAAATTAACATAGAAATGTCAAAATTGAACCAAAATTTGAACAAATGGACTTCATAGATATACAGTAAGTCCCCTGACTTATGCAAATGAATTGCACTCCTGGAGAACATTCATGAGTCAGATTTTTTTTAAGTCCAATAGAATGACTTCATTGGCACAGCAGATTTCACACATTTCATGATCTTGTATTTGTTCTTCAGAATGGGGCCAATGGTTAAATGATTCATGTTCTAAAAATGAGTGACATTTACCATCTTTTTGTCTTAGCCCAATCTCTCAATCATTTTCACTTTCCTTTCCATGGTTATTGCTTTGCATTTCCTAGCAATCCCCTCCACATTGTCACTAATTTTCCACTTGCTTCCAGACATCTTGGGCTCTGATTGAGCACTGTACTATGGTATACTATTGCACTGTACAGTCAGCATACAGCAGCACAACTGTGACAATGTCTGGCAGACACATGAGCTACTTCTGTGATTTGTTTGCATCTACAAATATCTGTAATGTGAGTTCTGTTTGTATCTGTAAAAGTCTTCAACTTGAATGTTTGTAAGTTGGGGACTTACTGTATACAGTATTCCATCCAGCAATAACAGAACATGCATTTTTTTAGTCCCAAGTGATATTTTATCCAGGACAGACAGCATACTAGCTAATAAAGCATGCCTAACTAAATGCAAAAGAATAGAAATGTTAACATGCATATTATCAGATCACAGTGCAATGAAATTGGAAATCAATAGCAAATTAAAACCACAGAAATTATCCAATCATATGGAAATTAAACAACATGCTTCTGAGTAACCAGTGGGTCACACAGGAAATTAAGGGAGAGATAAGACAGTTCATAGAATTAAGTGACAATGCAAGCACAGCATATCAAACTTTATGGGACACAATGAAAGCAGTCCTATGAGGGAAATATACAGCAGGAGAATACCCTCACCAAAGAAATAGAATGAGTTCAAATAAATAACCTAATGATTCATCTCAAGGTCTTAGAAAAACAAGAACAATCAAAACCCAGAGCTAGTACAACTGAGGAAATTATAAAGATCAGTGCAGAAATCAACAAAATGGAAACTAAATAAACAATACAAGGAATCACTGAATTGAAGATCTTGGAAAGAATAAACAAAACAGATAAACCTTTAGCCAATTTTACAAAAAAAAGGAAAGAAAAGACACAAAACAATGCAATTAAAATGAAAACAATGAAATAACAATAGATAGTGCCAAGGGGCTGGGGATTTAGCTCAGCGGCAAAGCGCCTGCCTGGCAAGCGCAAGGTCGTGAGTTCGGTTCCTGGTACCGGAGAAAAACCAAAAAAAAAAAAAAAAAAAAAAAAACAAAAAAAAAAAACCAAAAAAAAAAAATAGATAGTGCCAAATCCAGGTAATTATTAGCAACTGTTTCACAAAAATATACGCTAAACAAATGAACTCAGAAAAAATAGAGAGATCCCTAGACATATGAACTATCAAAGTTGAACCAAAAAGATTAAATTCATCCAGCATCAGGCAAGGAAATTAAAGAATTAATTAAAAAATACCAAGTAAGAAAATTTCAGGACCTGGTGGGTTCACAGTGAAATTCTACAAGAACTTCGAGGAAGATTTAATACGAATACTCTTCTAATTGTGGTAAAATTGAAGGGAGTACTTCAAAAATCATTCTTGGAAGCTAACATCCTGATCCCAAAACCAGACAAGGATACAACCAAAAAAGAGAACTACAGGACAATTTCTCTAATGAATATAGATGTAAAAATCCTTGACAAGATGGCAAACCAAATACAACAGATCATCAAAAAGATCATATATATACCCTGACCAAGTAGGTTTCATCCCATGGATGCAAGGATGGTTCTAAAGGATGATTCTAAAGGATACCATAAAAATGGTCAACTAAAAAGAAAAGATACTTCTTAGATGTACAAATATCCAATAAATACATGAAAAAATAATCATTATTGCTGGCCATCAGAGAAATACAAATTAAAACTAAAAAACTAAAAATACAAATTAAAACACTGAGATAACATTTTACATTAGAAAGAATAGTTATCATAAAAAATCTAATTATAAATGATGACAAGAATGTGAGGGGAAAAGGAACTTTTCTACCTTGGTAGTGGGAATGTAAACTAGTACAACCACTATGGAAAACAATGTGGAGATTTCTAAAAAAACTGAAAATAGAAATTCAATTTGAGTCAGCGATGCCCTTCCTAGAAGCACATTTTATAATAGCTAGATCTTTGAAACTGTATATGTCCATCAACAGAGGAATGTATAAGGAAAATGTATCTATACACAGTGGAGTACTACACTGTGATAAAGAAAGATCATCTTGAGGCATTAATAGATAAATGGATGCAACTTGAGAATATAAAGGTAGGTGAAATAAGTCTAACACATAAGCTCAAATATTTCATGCTTTCTCTTATATGAGAAACAAAATATATATCAAACAGGAAGTAGGGAAAAGTTCAAAATACCCAAATTTCATTGTTTCAAAAATATTTTAATATATATATACTAATTTGTTTCATTTATATTACTAGTTTATCTTAGATCATTAAAAAGAAAGTTTTGTGTCATGTTTCTTTTTTGCAAGAATCTTTTAGGTTTATGTCTTATACTCCAAGGAAGTAATTTGAAGATAACAGTACACAGTCTATTAACTGTTGCTATTCTCTATTATTTTGATACAAAATTTTATTTTCTCATTAAAAAAGCAAACATCAGTCAGTATTACTGTATAACACAGCAGAACTCCTACTATACAGTGTTCTTTGTGTTGCCCAGTCCAAATAACTGCTTTCTGTGAGTGTTTGTTTTGATATTTTTCATTAAATGCCAATAACTGTAACCCATTGATTTCTTTGATTGCATTATTTGACTTGATTATTATTACTCTAGAACACTACTGACATCTTGTTTTAAAAAATGAACAAACAACTATACCTTCCCGGTTTATCCATTGCATTATTTGTTGTTTTCTTCTCTAGTAATTGGGCCACTTCCAGTCTGTTTTTCTTCAGAGCAAGCAGAAGTGGTGTGAGGCCATCCTGTGGACAAGCAGAAACAATTTACAACCCACACAATTGCCTATTGTCAACTGAACTGAAAACCTTGTAAGAGACCCTGTGACTCTAACCTGATATAGATAATGAATACACAGCAGTCTCTTCCTTCTCACTCCCAGTGCTTCCACGTGTGCTGCCCCTGCCCTCTGCCCTCTGCCTTCTGCAGCGCACTCTCCCTGCTAGAGTTGCTACATGACTCAAGTGTCAGATCTCACCTCAGACATTCCCTGGTCCCAAGGATCTTTCCATCACAGCATTTATCATGGTATTTTGGAGTTATGTACCATCTCCCACCTAAATCAAAAGCGTCTTGAGGGCTAGGGCCATATCTTTTATTTTAGTAGCCCCAAACCCTAGTACACGATAGTGAAAGATTTAAGTCTATATTCCAAAGAATAATTTTCCACAAGTTCTATGCCTCAACAGATTAATCATCTGCTTGAGAAATTATAAAACTGTACATAAGTTGTTCAAAATTAAAATCTTTAATTTTGCTTTATCCCTATTCAACAATCTTTTTAACTTTGCTTAACTTTGATTCAACAATCCTTTTTTTCTGATGAATATCAACAACATCTGAGGAATTAAGAGAGTTTTAGGGATACACAGCATTGACAGCATTCTAAATACATGGAAATTTCTTCTGGGTTATGGAGGAAACTTGCTGGATTCTACTTATGGTGTTGGGATCCAAATACAATTGTCAACCATTTCTGCTTCAAACGAGTCCTCAGGACATGGTCACTCAATTGTGAGATAGGCTTCAGCTAAACTTTGATTGCTTATTATTAAATATGGGTTTTTGTCCTATTATTAGATGAAAATATTATCTTCACTGTTAGAAAGCTCAGTCCAAAACTTCAGTTCTCATTTATAATGATAATCCTGGGATCCACATGCATATCTACCATTATAAATAAGCTTTTATTCTGGCTCCGTTTTCATTGCTATTTCTCTATTTTAGGCAAAATATAAATCAGAGGTAAAATATGGTTTATCAATAAAGATTCTAATACTGCCCAATATGGATTTTATCATAATGAATAAATTCTCTTTTTTTTTTTTTTGGTTTTTCTCCGGTACCGGGAACCGAACTCACGACCTTGCGCTTGCCAGGCAGGCGCTTTGCCGCTGAGCTGAATCCCCAGCCCCCCATAATGAATAAATTCTAATACTGCTCAATACAGACTTTATCATAATGAATAAACTATAATACTGCTCAATATGGATTAATTTTATCATAATGAAAGACACTAAGTCAGTTGTATATTTAAGGGACAAGGCTGAAGAAGATGATACAACATTGTTGGTAACATGCATAAATTATCCAGCTGTAATTATAATTAACTTAATAAGGTTTGTAGACATTTTAACAAGAACATGATTATCTATAGCATAAGGGAAAACTCTTTAAAAAACAAATTCTAAATTCAATTCCATTTCTAAGAATTTCCTATAAAATAGAGATTACATTCTTATAAATTAGTATACAATATCTTGAAACTCCTGACTCTTTATTAAAATATACCATAATTGAAGAACTGGAAACTCTCAGAGAGGCACAGTAGTAGGACAGGAGGAAATACGCAGGTAGATCAGTAGCAAACTGGAGAAAACATGTGAGCTTCATATACAAGGGGCAAAGCCTAACAGCCATGTGAGCTCTGAAGACACTAGATTCCCTTCTCTCAGAGCATCTCAAACCTCAAATTCTGCTGGAGTTTCCTGAAATTTCAGTGTGGATTCAATTTATGCAGGCAAACTGAATATAGTTAAGAGCCACATTTAGTCCACAGTCTTTTGCTTATATCTTTGCTCTACATGTGCTTCCAAATGGTTGTGTACAAAGCAAGTGTTCAATGTAAAATACTTCCTTTTACAGCACGTTTTACCAAAAAGTGAGCTCCCACAGTGAAAAGAAAAAGATTTATTATATTTATTTCAAAAATTTTTCCAACACTTAAACTTATCCCCATTTGTATGCAATTCGCCCTGACTGTTAAATAAATACTTTCATAAGAGTGCTGAGACTAAATGATCAAAAGAATTCCCAGCTGAGCATGGTAGTACACACCTGTAATCTTATCAGTCTGTGAGGCCAGGCAGAAGGATCCAAGTTTGAGTTCCATCTAAGCAACTTAGTGAGACTCTGTCTCAAATTTAAAAAAAGGGGTGAGGAGTGCTGAGTGCTGGGGATGTAGCTCAGTGGGAGGGCCTTAGGTTCAATTGTCAGTACCACACAAATAAATAAATAAATAAATAAAAATTTAGAAAAGCATTCCCATCTATATTCTTATTAATTTCATGGATTTCTGCCAGGGCTCACTAAACTTAACACATAGAGCAGTCTATCACATGCCTTCAACTAAAAACAGGCTCATGGTTAGTATTATTTAAAATCCTGGAAATCATCAACATTTGTTGAGCTCATGCCATGAATGATAAAAAAGAGATGTGGAATTCTTAAAGATTGAGCCTCAACCATCAGTGAACTTCTATAGAACTTCTCAACGGCAGTGGATGATTGAAGGTTGAAGGGAAAGTGGTGGAATTCTGCACAGGAATAGATTTCACGGATGGTTTTAACTCCCCATTGACAGGGGTAGAGAAAGTTGGGCTAGTATTGTTGCAAAGGAGAGATTAGAAGAAAGTGGAATTTAATCAAACTCATCTCGAGATTTCCTAAGTTTCTGAGAATTAGGAATTCATCCATTAAACATATTGAACTATTAAATGGTTCTGAGGTATAGCAGAATCCTGAAGAAATATTTGTAAATATCAAAGTCAGACCTTAATAGATTTACTGAATCAAAACCTTCAGGGCAGAGCCTCAACTTGTACATTTTCAAAACTTTCCCCTGCCCACAGCTGCACAAGTCTAGATGAGAACTGGAGAACCTAGAAGATCACTTCAGTCTCATCTCTCATCCACACAGCCAGTTCTTTTCACTATTTGAGGATTTGGCCAAAAGGAGGGAAAGTAAGAGACAGTTACTCCATGGAAGCTCCATTTAATCCCCTTGGCTAAGGGCAGAAGAGGCACTAGTAAATTCCAAATGCAACCAATTTCATTATACAAGCTCCTTATCACCAGCTACCAGCAAGACGTGATAGGTTTGAAAGTAGAATTTAGACTCTTATCTGAGTTGCTCTTTCTGCCTGAAAAGGAGAGGATGTCTGTTAATTATTTGCTGACCCCGCTTCTTTTCAAGATAATCACCATTCAGCCAGTGCCAATCTGGCTTCTTCAGAGTTCTCCAAAAATTGCAAGTTTGCAACTATACAACTTTCTTTCCTAATGAAGAATGTTTATTCCCAAGCCACATATGTCCTGTAATCCATGCACAATGGGAGGTTGAGGCAGGAAGACTGCAAATTTAAGCCCAGACTAGGCAACTAAGTGAGGCTCTGTCTCAAAATAAAACATAACATAAAAGAGCTGGAGATGTAGCTCATTGTGAAGGCCCTGGGTTCAATTTCCATTATGAAAAAGAAAAAAAGAATTTTTATTCTCAAAGTTAAAGAGCATCTCGTGTATACCCATAAACCAGAAAAATATTTTTTCAAAAACAAGCAACCAATGAACCAACAAATCCCCACTGATCAGCATTATTTCTAATCACTTTTTTCCCATTTAAGTGAAATCACTGAAAAATGAACCATTAATGACCTGTCAACAGCAACAAGATTTCCATTTATTGTAAAATACTGTTGTTCTGTTTAAATTTTAAAATAACACCTACGTCTTTCTAAGGCTTTTACAGTCTTATGTTGTTTTACACTAACTAAGACAAGAAAACTTTGGAAAAAACAGAAAAAGGATTGACTTTTTAAAAATTCAGTGTTTTCATAAATACTTGCTATAAGTGCATCAAAGAAACCTGTATCTTCTAGTATTTCTTTAAAACTACCAACATGTAAAGTAAAATCTTTTAACAACTAAGTTATTTAAAATACTGCATTTCCATTCATGCAATGCTTGAGCTTCTAAATATGGAAAATTGACCCTACATATATGTCACTGTTAACATGAATGTATTTCAGTATTTTGGAAATGAAACTGATTGATCTATACCTTGTTTTTTGCCTCAGTATTCGCATTGTGAGAAAGTAGTTTTGCTGCTATTGATGTGGTTTTACTGAGCACTGCATAATGAAGAGCGGTGTTGCCCCTGACATTGGCAATGTTTGGGTTTGCCCCGTGCTGCAGGAGAATCGCTGCACAGTCCTCCTTGTCATGTTGTACAGCCTGCAGGTAGTGTGACAAGAGAGACACTGTCAGTCAACTCAAGGAACTCAAAACAGACTTCCCACAGGCCTCACCTAGTAGTTATATTTAAATTACATCAATTCACTTTTATTTTCAGCATTTAAATGCAGTCTGTCTCAATTTCTATCTGAAATTGTTGGTTGCTATCTACCTGAATCAGTGCTGTGTTATCATCACTGTCATGGGCATCGATATCACAATTCCTTTCTAAGAGAAGAGTCACCACTTCTGGATGGCCATAGGTGCAGGCAAAATGCAGAGCAGTCCTGTGACAGGAAAATTATTAGGAAATTACAGAGCTCTATTTCAAAATGCACAATTATTTATGTAATTGTAAACATTAAATAGCTTTCAAAACAAGTATTTAATTTTCTTCTAAAATGTAGAATACTGAGGCAGCGAGTTCTCCGGGAGCGGCAGGGCTCCTGGGTCCGAGTGTGGGCTGGACGCATACCACCACGATTCCCAGCTGAAAAGCGTGCACAGAGCCAGGTAGGCCCCATCCAA